TGTACATTTGAGCTAAATCTAAGCTGTGTTTAGAGTGTTATTATAATTCCGTTGGTCATGTCACAGTATAGTGTTAAACCGGGGGGGGGGGGGGAAGGGGGAGGAAAAAGAAAGAGAAAAAGAATGGGAAAAAAATGGAAAAAAAAAGAGAAAAGGAACGAGGAAAAACATAAAAGGAAAAAGAAAAAGAAATTGGGAAAAAGGTAAAGGAAAAGGAAAAAGAATCACCAGAGTTGTATGAAAAAACGTTTGATCCTCCAGGATAGACAACAACGACGGGCTCACCTTCAGAATTATTAGTATTGTTGTTTAATATCAGTTTTAACAACTTCAGAATGGGGAGTTATTTTGTATTCTTATACATGTTGTCAGTTATGGGGAGCTATGGCAGTAAGTTCTCAACTCCTCACCTTCAGAATTGGTTTTTTTTTTTTTGTGTTATTTAATTTTAGTTTCTCTTATTTCGATTTTTTTTTTTTCCCTTTGAAATTAATCCTCACCGTACTGATGTCTGTTGTGGTTCGTGCGTGCGGCAGATCAATTTCCTCCCCCACCCCTTCTTTTTTCATTGAGGGAAATTGGTTACTTCTCCCTTCTTGGTTCCACCCACTATTGTCAGAGTACTTAGCCACAATGGCGGTTTCCAAGGAGCAGGTCGAGTCAGTCCTGAAGGAGAAGCTTCAGCCTACTAATCTGGTGAGAGGAATCTAGCTTCCCTATCAGTCTGTATATATATATATATATCGTCATATATATATCACATATATATATTACATATCGGTTCATTGATGATGTTCTTACCTTTGATTGTCTGCCACCATCGTCAGCCCATTATGGTCTTGAATGGAAGGAGACCACTGCGGCAGATGGCTCGTGCACCTTCTTAGGTGCGAAACTGCAGACACGAGCAGACGGATCTCTCAGATTGAGTGTGTTTGATAAGACCGTTGCATGGGATTTTCCTGTTATACGATATCCTAGTGCAACGTCGAACATTCCATCTCATCAGCCTGCMGGTGTGTTCACTGGCCAGCTTACGCGGTTTGAGCAGATTTGTGACAATTGGCGTGATTTCAAAACGGCAGCAACCATGCTTGTCCGCCGATTGCTCTCGCGTGGTCATGCTCCGTCAACACTGGCCCGTGGATGGACTTGGTACATTCGAGCTCGCCAGCGTCGACATCCAATACATGTAACTCGCCTTACACAATAGTTTCGACGTATGCTTCGCTGGTCCGTGCACCATCCTCTTCCACCCTCTCCCCCCCTTTCCTCCCCTTCTCCTTCTCCCATCCCCCCTTCTTCTCCCCCTCCGCCTCCCCCTCCCCCTTCTCCTT